AAACAGGCAAAGTTAATTTTAATATTCTATTCAACCTAATACATCCTAAATTTCATTATTTCAGCATAGTCTCAATCTAAACATTTATTAGTAAGATATTTTCCATTCTTTTTAATTTTTTAATTTTTAACCATTTCATTCCATTTTTAAATTGAAGCATAACTGGCATACAACATCATATTAGTTTCTGCCATATGCTGTAGTGACTCAGTATTTGTGTAGATGCTGTGCAGTGATCACCACATTAGGTCTAGTTAACATCTGTCACCACATAGTTAACCGAATACTTTTTTTGTGGTGAGCACTTTTAAGATCCACTCTCCTAGCAACTTTCAAAGATATTCAGTACAATAGAGTATTATTAGCCATAGTCACCATGCTGTACATTCTACCCCCAGGACTTACTTATTTTATAACCAGGAGTTTGTACATTTTCACCTTCACCATTTCACATGCTGCCATCAACCTCCTCTGGCAACAGCAATCTGTCAAGCTTGTTTTGTTTGTTTGTTTGTTTGCTTGTTTGTTTGATTCAGCATATAAACGAAATCATATGGTATTTCTCTTTCTTTGTCTGTCTTCATTTAGCATAATGTCCTCAAGATCCATCCCTGTTGTGGTGCATTCCTAGTTTTTGATGTGGTTACTATCCTAACACATCTCAGTTTGGACTGGCCACATTGCAGTGCTCTATAGCCTTGCATTTGCTGTATTGGACAGTGCAGTTCTAGAACTCAGGAGTAAGAGAGACACTGCCATCCACCCCAGTGAGCACATCTGGGGGAAACGCTCCAGTGCAGGCCCTGCCTGAGGGAGAGTGCTGCTTCCCCAGCCAATGGGCCCTGCCCAACCTGCCAGAGCATGCTAACTTCACACAGCAAGAAGGAGAATGCCACACTCTAGAGTTCTGTCCTAGTCTCTGAGTTGAAAAGAGAGAATGACATTGAGTTGTCCTCTTTGTAACAGTAGCAACAACAACAACAACAACAACCCAATTAGTACTTAGTGAGTACTAGGCATGGGGGCCAGGCCTTGTGCTAAGCACTTCATTAGCTTCACTACAAATTTATAAGAGAGGTAGGCACTATTATTATCCATGCTTAAAAGAGGAGGAAAGTGGAGAACCCTAAAAATTCCACTGATAACCTATTAGAACTGATAAATGAATTCAGTAAAGTAGTAGGATACAAAATAAATATTCAGAAATAGATTGCCTTTTTATACACTAATAATGAACTATCAGAAAGGGAAACTAAGAAAACAATCTCATTTACAATTGCATAAAAAATACCTAGGAATAAAATTAACCAAGGATGTAAAAGACCTATACCAGAAAATTATAACACTGAAGAAAGAATTTGAAGAAGATACAAATAAATCGAAGCATATACTGTGCTCATGGGTAGGAAGAATTAAAATCATTAAATTGTCCATGCTATCCAAAGTACTCTATAGATTCAGTGCAATTCTTATTAAAATACCAATGGCACTTTTCACAGATCTAGAATAATCCAGAAATTTATATGTAACCACAAAAGACCCTGAATGGCTACAACAATCTAGAGAAAAAAGAGCAAAGTTGGAGGAATCACACTACCTAATACCAAATGATACTATAAAGCCATAGTAATCAAAACAGCATGGTACTGGCATAAAAACTGGTATATGGATCAATGGAACAGGATAGAGAGCCCAGAAGTAAACCCATGCCTTTATGGTCAATTACTATTTGACAAAGGAGACAAGAACATACAATGGGCTAAATGTCTATTCAGTAAATGATATTGGGGAAATTGGACAAATATATGCAAAATATGGAACGGCAACCTTCTTACACCATATGCAAGAATAAACTCAAAATGGATTAAAGACTTCAATGTGGAACTTGAAACAATGAAATTCCTAGAAGAAAACATAGGCAGTAAAATCTCTGATGTTTAGCAATATTTTTTCTGATATATCTCCTTGTTTAGGGGAAACAAAACAAAAAGTAAACAAATGGGACTACATCAAATTAAAGAGTTTTTGCACAGCAAAGGAAACCATCAACAAAATAAAAAGATAACCCACTGAATGGGAGAACATATTCAACCAATCATACATCTGATAAGGGGTTAATATCCAAAATTTGTAAAGAACTCAGACAACACAACACCAAAAAAAAAAAAATCCAATGAAAAAGTGGGCAGAGGACCTGAATAGAGATTTGTCTGAAGAGGAAATACAGGTGGCCAATAGACATATGAAAAGATTTTTAATATAACTAATCATCAGAGAAATGCAAATTAAAACAATGAGATCATCTTACACCTGTTAGAATGGCTGTCCTCATTAAATCAACAAACAACAGTGGTGGAGGATGTGGAAAAAAGTAAACCATTGTGTGCTGTTGATGGGAATGGCAGTTGATGCAGCCACTGCAGAAAACAGTATGGAGGGTCCTCAAAAAGTTGAAAATGGAACTGCCTATGACCTAGCAATTCCACCTCTGGGAATATATCCAAAGAAACTCACAACACTAATTAAAAAGAATACATGCACCCCTATGTTCATTGCAGCATTACTTACAATAGCCAACCTATCGAAGCAACCTAAGTGTCCATCAGTAGACGAGTGGATAAAAAAGTGGTGGTACATATACATGGTGAAATATTACTTGCCATAAAATGAATGAAATCTTATCATTTGTAATAGCATGGGTAGACCTAGAGGGTATTAGGCTAAATGAAATAAATCAATCAGAGGAAGACAAGAACCATATGATTTCACTTGTATGTAGAATCTAAAGAACAAAATAAATGTAGAACAAACCAAATAGACTCATAGACACAGAGAACAGACTGATGATTGGCAGGTGGGAGGGGGTTAGATGAAAAAGGTTGAGAAATATAAATTGGCAGTTACAAAACAGTCACGGGGATGTAAAGCACAGCATAGGGAATATGGTCAACAATATTGTAATAACTATGTATGGTGTCAGGTTGTTACTGGAAATATCTGGGAGACCACTTTGTAAAGTACATGATTGTCTAAGCACTATACTGTACACCTGAAACTAGTGCAAAATAATATAGAACTAAACTGACATTGAAAAATAAAATTTAAAACAAAAGACTGAGGAGGAAAGCCTCTCAGAGAAATTAGATAACTTGCTGTGGGTCCCATGAGTCATAAGTGACAGACCTGGGATTTGAACCCAGGGCTGTCTAAAGCCAAAGGCTTGTGTTCTCCAAACAAAAACAATAAAATGAGATGCAGGATGGGTCCAGGTTTCCAGGGCCTTTGTCAAAGGCTCTCTTCCTCTACTCACAGGGCACACTGCCAAGTTAAGAGGCTTTGGAGATGAAGGTGTCAGTGAGGATGACTCAGTGTCACAGTGAGGGCTATATGTGACTTGTATGGCACCCCCAGCTCCTGCCCTCACCAGCCATTGTCTAGGATCCATAACTGCAGGCATGTTCATATTGCAAATAAGATATTAATTCATAGGCATACATGACAAAAATCTGTCAATTCTGAAGCACCACGTGAAAATTTGCTATCATTATTGTATGGTACTGCTATTCTCATCATCGTTCAGTTGGTGGTATGTCCAGGGAACTCACCATAGCCCAGATCACTGCACCAGTGGCAGCAGCATCAAATGGGAACTGAGAACATAGCCTAACTTGAATTTTCTGTTCTTAGTAGATCCCAGCACCTGAATGTTTTAAGTTTCACTTATGGATATTTGTAGTAAAACCCAATGTGTACACAACTCATTAGCCAGGTGTTTTCATCATTTTCCAGCTTGTCTGGTGCTGAAATCAGTATCTATGTTCAGCCTTGGGTGACCAGCAGCCCTCCTAACTCTTCAGAGCTTAGTTAGAGAGGTACTTAGAAACCCTTAAGCTGACATAATAACAGCACCTAGGCTTCCTCTCTCAAGTTCCAGGACAAGTGAGAGGCCAGGAAGCCAGCCACCCTTGTCCAGAAGAGAAAGGGCCCACAGTCTGTGTTCAGGTTTCTTGAGCATCCTCATGGCCTTGCTGAATGGGACTACCTGGAAGAGATCCAAACCCTATTCTCCCACTGAGGCCCACCTGCTCCACAGAAGCCGTTCCTGACATGTCAGCCCCCTCCAGTCCTCTCCTACCTCTACGGTCCCATAGTCTTAAATGCCTGTGCCACCCTCAGACACTGAAGCCCCTGTCTTGCATTGTTAGCTATACACTTTCTGTATGTCCTTGTTCTTTCTTTCCTAGTCCCAGACTTTAGTGACCTCTCCTAGTGACAATCACATGTTGACTTGTGACATCTCTGATGACCTGGTTGGTCAGCTTCACCTTGTTTCAGAGAGGGCTTAAAGGGGCTTCTTCATTCTTGTGAGTGAGCATTATGTCCTTAGTGAACTTCTGTCTTGGCTTTGAGTGCTGCCTGTCTATCCAGAGTATGTGTCCTTTGAGAACTGGGTCTTATAATCTTGGCCTCCAACAAGAATGTCTGCCTGATGTACCTTGGGGACTCAGTGACAATGTAGAAGTATTGCTCAATATCAAGCAAAGGACTCATGTCCCAATCCAGATCAGCTCCCTCTGATGCTAGTCATTTGCTTTTCTTTTACTGCAGTTACCATGATTTGTATCAAATATTCATCAATTTGTTAAGGCCTTCCCCCCACACTGGGAGCCCTTTTTGGTTCTCCCCTGTGTCTCTAGCACCCAGTACAATGCCTAGAACTCAGTAGAGCTTGGTAAAGACTAGGTCAGTAGCTGTGTAACCAAGCAGACAGGTGCCCATACACATAGCACCTTGGTGATGACCCAACAATTAATGCTGGAAAGAATAGGTTTTTATTTACAATAGTCCAACCTTGGGAGTGGAGGACTCTGAGCACTTATCTACAAGACCCAGCACTTCTCTTGTTCCCCAAAAGGCTATAAAGCCAAAAGCCCCAAAGTTCCCATCTTCTTATCTTAAGCCGGCTGTGCAAATAGTCTCACAGCAGCTCTCTCCTTCAGGACCTGGGGTACGTTGTCATCAGCCTCCACATAATAGTCCAGGCAAGCATATGCCGTGGTGCACTGGATCATGGTGAAGTTCAGGAAAGACTACGTCCTGAGAGTCCAGACAGAATCCAGGTTTGCACGGCAGCAGGTCAGCATCTTGCAAGGTAGGATCCTTGGTGCCTTTGGAGTCTTCGATGGCTTTTGATAGCTATCAAAATCGGCATGCCTGCTTTTGTTACAGAAATAACCCATTTGGGAGCCAACATCCTGTTACAGAAACAAGCCCTTTCCCCTGGGGTCTTTTTTCATTGTGGTTTGTCTTTGCCCACCCCCATCTTAGGACTGTGGCTCTCAGTGCCAGAGTTTGGTAAAAAGGAAAGGAACTATTTATTCAAAAGTTATAAGGTTTAGAGTAAGGGTGGAATGTCACTGTTAAATCTCAAAGTCCCTTTAAAATACCCACAAACACACACACAGCTCTGCCTTCCCCCTTTTGCCCAGGCAGGCCAGTCTTAGAACATGCCAATCAGAAGTACTGTCCTCCAGGAGAAAAACAGTATCAGAAGTCCACAGCTCACTTCTCCTGGTGCCTCCCAGTAATCCAAGCTCAGCTGGGCAGGTCTCCCGCAGTCCCCAGCACCATCAGCTGTGTCGTCACCATCTCCAGTTCTTAGCTGAAAATCACGTGGCACCTCCTCATGGCCCATCAGCAAGAGTTTCTTCACCTCTTTTCTTCCGGCATGGTCTCGCATTGTACCCCGTTCCTCGTGGCCACCCTGCCTTTTAGTTTAAATCCCTTTTAGTTGAACCTCCACTGTAACCCCATTTCCAACTCCTCCCACAATGGGCTACACTTGCTAGCCCTCCTATATTTTCTGCCTTTCTTGGATGCCTTAGTTAGTCCAGGCAAGCGTAGCCCCCTGGCATGGAGCGAACCATCTCCAACCTCTAGCACAGGCGCTGTAACCAGGGTGCTGCTTCCCAATTACATGATGGGTTAAAGTTGTGCATACCTTCTTGGTTCCATGCAGGCTAGGAGGCTAGTTTGCTGTTATTGATATGCAAAATAACTCTGCTGCTTTTCCCAGCCCCTAAACTAGGCTTGTGGGTGGCCCTGGGGCCTCTCAGCCTACACCCTGCTACACTTTCTTACTAGCCCATGGCAGACGAGCTCCTACAGCCTGAATGGCTCCTATCTCACTACTGGCAGCGTGGCTCTTCTACACCTCTCCATCATGCTTCTCTCCTGTGGCTGCCCACTGTTCAGTTAAATCCTGACCCAGGGTCTCCTATGTGACCTCATCTCCGACTCCTCCCACTATGAGCTACATTTGTCAGTTCTCCTATACTGTTTACATGTATTCAGCTGCCATCCGTAGTCAGAGCAAGAGTGACTCAGTGATCCAGGGGGATGCCCCTGACAACATGACTAGTCAGGATATATCCTGGAAGTCACACCCACCTTGCCCCAAGGCGGTGGCACAGCTATTGTCTTGCCTTTGCTATGAAAAGTATCTTAAGCCTTATCATCCACTCTCCCCATCCCCCCAAACCATGGGCTGTGGAGGTTTCCGGGGACCCCCAGTCTACACCTCCTTTCAGCTGTACATATGAACAAATCAGCTGGTCCCTGTAAAAGAGGGTGAAGGTGGAGAGAGGAAGGAGTTAGCACCTGGGCACTGGAGGCTTCCTGAAGAGAGGCTGGCTACAGAAGGGCATGTGGAATAATGGCAAACACATTCACTGAGAAGGCAGGGACCTGAGGGTGAGGCCTTTTCCTGCACTGAGGTTTATTTTCTATGTAACCTTAAGATAATCTCATGAGGGTTGAAAGAGAAGTTTTTGTGGAATTGCTTTGTAAACCACAAAATAGCATGGTAAGAGGTTATTCATCATCCTAAGATCTGGTCCCTGCCTACCTGTCCAAATGTATTTCTTATTAATTTGATTTATCTAGGCCAGTGTTCTCACTTTTTAAAAATGTGTTTTTTTCCTTATTGCAAAAGTAATAGAGAGTAATAACAAAACTATTAGAAAATTCAGAAGAAAATACAAATAAATCATCTCTTAAGATTACCACATAGAAATAACACAATCAACATCTTATGTATAACCCAAATGTATATTTTTCTAAATACGTAAGACCTAAGTTTCCCAGGCGTCAGAAGCTGGGGGCAGTCAGGGCAACGTTGCTCTCCATTCTCCATGGCATTCTCTGTGGTGTTCTCCAGGGGGATGGCTTTGCTGGAGGCTACTGCCTGGGGAGACACTAGCAGGGGTGCCAAACTCATTCTTACCAGGGGCCACATCAGCCTCGTAGTGGCCTTCAAAGGGCTGAATGTAGTTTTAGGACTGTATAACTGTAACTACTCTTTAACGGTTAAGTGAGAGCTCAATGCTGCCACTGGATAGAAACAAGGTGGAGGGCCAGATTTGACCTGCAGGCCCTGTGTTTGCCACCTGTGCACTAAAGGGTGGAGCCTCTGCACTCTGGTTGCTTCCAGCAACAATGCCAGTAAGGGGTATTGAGAACCGACTTCTTCCAGTGCTTTTCCCTATCTGAACTACATTCTGGGTTGATGTATGTACTGTTTGTCTTTCTCCACTGAGATATAAGCTTCATCAAGTCCAAAGCTTGCTGAATTTGCATTATTGTTGCCTCTTTGGCTCCTAGAACGGTTCCTGCACATTGCAAACATTCACTGAATGAATGAACACCAGGGTATTGTATTACCTTATACAGAACACCAAGCACTTGCTTCAGATGAGTTTGTGCGTGTGACCTGCACAGAGACCAAATTCATTGGTAATATTTTGGGATACATCTGGTTTGCCAAATCTAGCTATTGTTAGAAATATGGCCTCAACAGGGGTCCAATGGAGAATCCCAACCTCCTTTGCGATCACTACTGCTGCTTCCAGTAATTTTCAAGCATGCCCTGAGACCACATTACTTAGCATGTGGCCAAAGCATTCTGCAAAGTTTGTCTCTAGGTTAACAGTGTTAATTAACACCACCAAACTGTCCTGTCCTCTCCTATCTCAAAGCCTGTTCCAGCACCTTTCAGGTTGGTCTCTGTAAGGGGCCTTAGGCTTTTCTTGGAAGTACTACTGCTCTTCTTAGGCAGGGCTTCAATTCTGGCCCTCCATCTGCATCTTTAAGGTTGAGCTTCTATGGTGCAAACAGCTTTTGTGGATTGGGTACAAAGGACTGAAAGACTGCTGCTGAGAGCTAGGATGCTGAGAGGGAGTGTCCAGTTAGCCCTGAGGCTCCCTACTGCTCAGGCACAGGAGAAGTGCCCCACCTGGGCTAGACCCAGTCTCCAGACTCAGTTTGCTAAGCAGACTTCCCACTGAAATGCCTCCACCCCTCCTGTCTCCAAAACCTGGGAAAGGATGGGACGAGGCCGGTTTTCTTCTGGATCATGGCAGACCTACTGGGAAGGACACTTTTCCCCAATTTCCACAAACCCCTTCCTCTGTGGCACCCAGGGGGAAACAAGGTGTTTTTATCTCTGTGTGTTTCCTAGGCAGTATACAAACACAAGTCTCAAAAGTGCTCTCCAGACTTGAAGAGCCACCCATGCTCTGAGCATCCAGGTCCTGTCCCTGGAGTGAGAGATCAAAAGGAAGACAGAGTGCCTCCCACAGCCCCTGGTCCTCAGGCCCAAGGTCTGCCATGGGTGCCTTTACTGCTGTTTTCAATATTCATGAGGATCATCCCCAAGCACTTAGATTTCAGAAACTGAGTTCATCAGACTTGCCATTATTCTCCCAAGTCTACTTGACAACATAGTTGGTTTTTGTTTTTTTTTCCCCCAGCTTTATTGAAATATAATTGGCTTATAACATTGTATAGGTTTAAGGTATACATAATGATTTGATATGTATATATTGCAAAATGATCACCGCAACAAGTCTGGGTACCATCCATCACCACACATAGTTACAATATTTTTTCTTCTCATAAGAACCTTTAGGCTTTGCTCCCTTAGCAACTTCCAACATACAACACAATGTCCTTACATTTTACCCCCTTGTCTTACTCATGTCGTAACTGGAAGTCTGTTCTCTCTGACCACCTTCACCCATTTCTCTCCCTTTCCCCACACCCAACCCCTGGCAGCTACCAGTCTGTATTTGGTCCCTATGAGTTCGGTTTGTTTTTTGTTTTCTTTTGTGTTTAATTCCACGTGTGATGTCATGTAGTATTTGTCTTTCTCTCTCTGACTTATTTAATTTAGTGTAATACCCTCAAGAACCCTATACATTGTTGTCACAAATGGCAGAATTTCCTTCCTTCTCATGGCCAAATAATGCTCCATTATATATATGCCACGTCTTCTTTATCCATCCATCATTGATGGACACTTAGGCTGTTCCATGTCTTGGCTATAGTGAATAGTGCTGCAATGAACACAGAGGACAGATATCCCTTTTGGATAATGGTTGCATTTCCTTAGGATATATACAGGGGTGGGCAAAAATAGGCTTACAGTTGTTTGTATGGAAAGAGACATGCAGATTATGATTATTATAATAGCATTATTAAGTCTGTGTTTTGTGTAGTGTGAACCTACTTTTGCCTACCCCTTACATCCAGAAATGAAATTGCTGTATCACATGTTTGTTTGTTTTATTTTTAATGCTTTGAGAAACCTCCATACTATTTCTCATAGTGCCCATATCAATTTACATTTCTACCAGCAGTGCACAAGTGTTCCCTTTTTTCCACATCCTTGCCAGCACTGGTTACCTCATGTCTTTTTGATGACAGCCACTCTGACAGGTGTGAGGTGATAGCTTATTGTGGTTTTGATTGTATTTCCCTAATTATTAGTAATGTCAAGCACCTTTTCATGTACCTGTTGGCCATCTGTATAGCTTCTTTGGAAAAATGTCTCTTCAGGTTCTTTGCCCATTTTTAATTGGATATGGGGTTTTTTTGCCCTGGAGTTGTATGATTTCTTTATATATTTCAATATATTAACCCTTTATCAGATATGTGGTGTGCAACTATTTTCTCCCATTCTGAAGGTTGCCTTTTCGTTTTGTTGATCATTTCTTTTGCTAACCAGAACCTTTTGAATTTGTTGTAATCCCACCCATTTATATTTTTGCTTTTTTTTACTTGTGCTTTAGATGTTATATCCCCCAAACCATT